CACGTGTCATCACCATGTTTTGAGGTCCTTCCAAGGCTTTCCTGTGACCTTAAGATAAAGCCAAAAGTCCTTCACACGACTTCGAGGCACTGCGTGACCTGGCCTTGACCAGACCAGCCTCTCCTCCACTCCCCTACATCATGGCCCTCCGCCCCGCTCCCCGACCTCCAGCCCGGTCTAGATGGAACTCACTGGCCCTTGCACTTACACTTCCTTGTCTCTGAAACACTTGCAGCCAACCCGCCCTTCCGGTCTCACCTTAGACATGCAATTCCCTCCCCTCATTCTACATGGCAGCCCTGCTCCCCTCCTCTGGACCCCCAAGGCCCTGGCTCAGTGGCCTCTCCAGAACTTCTCTACAGAAGGGCCTTAGACAACTGCCGTCTGCTCCAGCGGCTTTGCGGGGGTCCTGATGATGATCACGGGACCCTCCCCTGCGCCTGCTCTCCCCTTCCCAAAAGTTGCTAGGGCTTTACTATGGCTGTCTGTTTTCAAGCCTGACGCACAGTGGTGCTGACCGAATATCGTTTCCTCCATTTGCTGTCTGGCTGGGTGACCACGAATAATCTCTTCCCTTTTCTGAGTGTCCTTGGCTAATTAGAACCTTACTTCGATTTGCAGACTCTGAAGTTCTGGACAATACGAAGGGGGATGATGATGGCAGCCCAGGAATGCACGCTCGTGACACATTGCGGAGGTTTTTTTAAGTGTGTTATAAAATAGCATGTGTGACCCGAAGCCTATTTTTACAAAAATTTAAAATAACTGTGTATATATGTAGAAAATAACTACCATCTATTGGGACTTGAGTCTGTGCCGGACCCTGATACACGGTGCACCATCTCGTGACTCTACCACCCTGCCGGTCCGGCGGTCCCTGTTATCCGTGGTTTCGCTTTCCATGGTTTCCGTTACCCGCGGTGAACCGTGGTCCAAAAATATTAAATGGAAAATTCCGGAAATAGACAATCCATAAGTTTGAAATTGTGTGCCATTCTGAGTAGTAAGGGAGAGCAGTTTGCCACCTCCAAATATGCCTTTTTTGGGATATTGATTATTTTAGCTGGTTATTTTTAAGAAACGATAGACTCAGGAAAAAACTTTGACCGTCTCCCTAACTGCCTAAAAGAATTTAAACAAGGACCTGCTCCAGGAAGGGAGCTATCATCCTAGATAACTATAGTTTAATATGAACTAGTATGTGATAAACAGAGAGAAACCTAACAAGGCCCATTTGATCAAAATCCTAAAATCCTCTCTGTGTCCCATTGTTAAAGATGGCCCAGCAAACATTTATGCACTGAACATTTGCCTTCCTGCCCCTCAAAGTCCCAAACCACTACCCTCCTTTCTCTTTAGCTCAAGCTGGCATATACGCCTCAACTGCCCGATTTGTCTTGGGGCCCCATATTCTTATGGAACCCCCATATGCACATACATAATTAACTGTGGTTCTATTCTCCTGTTAATCCGTCTCGTGTCAATTTGGTTATTAAACCAGCCAGAAGAACTAAGGGAGAAAAGGAGAAATTTTCTCCTGCCCACCCCACCCCCAGTAGCACGATGAAATCCCACGCCAACCCACTCCTTCTTGCCTGGGACGTGAATCATCCATTTGTCCGGCATGTCCACACCGTCTACACCACCTGCCCGTTAGTCAGTAGCCATCTCAGTTATCAGATGGACTGTCACATGTCGCAGCGCTTATGTGCAAGTCACACTCATTTTACTTAATAATGCCACGTTCACATAACTTTTATTATAGTATATTGTTATAATTGTTCTATTTTATTACTTGTTGTTAATCTCTTACTGTGTATACTTTACAAATTAAACTTTAGCATAAGGATGTACGTATAGGAAAAATCATAGCATATAGAAGAAAGAGTTCAATACTATCCCCGTTTTCAGGTATCCACTGGGGGTCTTGAGACATAACCCCCGTGGATGAGGGAGGACTACTGTCCTATATGGAGGAAAAAACTGAGGTTCAGAGAGGTTCCCCGGCCAGTTGAGGGGCGGAGCTGGACTTGGCCCTTGGCTTGCCAAGTCCAAAGGCCATGTAAGCTCTTCACCACCAGGCTGGTGCAAATTGAGGATAATAATAGCTCCCACCTCATAGGGTTGTTGGGAGGATTAAATGAGCTAAGAGGTGTGAAGCCCTTAGATCAGCCCCTGGCACCACCTCCAGGCTCACCCACAGCAGCATCGGATGCCTCTGGGCAGTCCTGCGAGGTCGTAGTCAAAAAATATTAACGGTGACAGTCTCGGCTAGATTTTTTTAATTTTCCACAATTTAAAATTCAGGCATTACTTGTATGTATTATTTTCTTTTTAATTCTTGCACATACGATGCCCTCGGTGAGCTGTCATTCTCTTCAAGGCAGACCCAGGAGAGCTCTGAGTCACCTCCCAGGTTCCTCCAAGGCCTGGCACAGAGAGACCCCCAGTAAAGGATCATAGCAGAAAACAGCTCAGACGACCCCCTCCCAGCCCAGGTTTTCTGGCAGGAGCCAGAGTTGGGGGTTTGGGATGCAGGTCAGTGCCAGGAACCCGCCAGAGCTAAGCCTGCCCTTGGCCAGCATGTCACAAAAGGCACAGCGAGATGCCTTGGGGCTTTTCTGGGCCCCAAGGGAGCAGTGAGAGCAGGCTGAGACCTCCGGCCCTGAATCCACCAACAGCTGTGACCACTTCAGCTATTTTAAACTCTTGGGCAGCAAGAGGCTCCCATCACACCAGCGAAGCCCTGTGGCCCAACATTGCCAGCCCTGAGCCCGAGGCAGGAGCCCTGCGTGTGGCTCAGCCAGGTCCAGGTTGGATCGTTAAAGAAAGGGCATTTCATTTTTTGAGCACTTGCTTTGTTCCAGACATTGCGCTAGTGTTTTTCGTACATCATCTCATTTGATATCACCCTTTTATCTTTGCTGAGAGATCAGTTGTTCACAGACGACGAAAATGAGGCTCCGAATGGCAGGGTGAGTCGTCCAAGGCTCCCTAAAGGCAAGGCTGGGACCAGAACTTGGGTTTCCTCATCTACCGATCGAGACACCATTCCTCCTCTGCCTTTATCTGCTTTGCACCCCCTACCCTTCCTCCACGGTCACGCAAGTTCCTGTCCTGGCTCTGACATTCTTAGGAGCTATGGGACTGAGGGCGGATTTCTTAACCTTTCTGCGGCTCACTTTCTCCATCTGTGAAGTGGCGGATCTCATTCTAACACGTGAAAAGCGCCACTGCGGCTGTGCCGGGCATGCAGAAAGAATGCGACGAGGGCCCGCGCTTATTCCTCCCCTCCTGGCGATCGCCGCCTTCTTCCCAGCTTTATCACCCCCTGCTCCCCTTGTGACCTGCCCAGGGCCTCAGTGGGGGTTCAGTGTTCCTCCCCATACTCTGGGACCCAGTTTCCCAGTGGGTAAAATAAGGTGTCATGCTCTACGATCCCCAGGAAGGTGGGACCCCTGGCACATACTGAGTATCTGCCACATGTTAGAGGCTCGAAAGTAATTCCTGGCAGAGGGGTGCCCAGACAGGAGCCCACCTCGGGAGCTTCGAAGTCAGCCCTGTGCCACACCACTTTTTCCTCTTCAGCAGGTGGCCACTGGCGGGCTAATTAGATGATGCACTCGGTGGTGGCCTGGAGCCAATCAGAAGTTACCAGCACCTCCCTGGGTCTGTGTGCCTTTTGGGACAGATGCCCCTTGACCAGATAGGCTTTCCCCCTTCCCCACCCACATTCCTCCCAGGTCCCGGCCACCTAGGAGAAGCTGGGCTCTCCACCATCTCCTAACTTGGTCTGCCTTGAGAAACCTGGAGACAGGGGGCTGAGTGTGTCTCAGCTCTGGGCACTTCTGAGCCTGGACCCTCGTGCTCAGGCACACCCCTCCCCCATTCTCAAACATGCATCCCCTCCCCCCCGCCCCCCTGCCCTCTGCCCATTCACTCCCCAGTTCCTGTCCCCAGCAAGAACCACTTACTCACACATGGCTGAGTCATCTGGGATAGGGGTAGGGGCTGGTTTAGGCCCCTACTGGATGTCCCTTTGCACCTGAACCTCCACAAGGCACAAACTGATGCTGTACTGGCACCCTCCAGGGCCCTCCTTCAGCCAGCGGCCAAGGCCAAAACGGTGCCCCTCACTGTCCCTCCGCTGAAACATCAATATTTCACAAACACTGTCAGATCATTCCCTTTCTCTCCAGCCCTCTCAGGGAGCCCCAGCAGGGGTCTTCAGTGACCCCCCCCCTTCCGGGGGCCACCTCCATCCATAGCAGCTGGAATGACTACTTTCTGTTCCACACCTGACCACTCCTGAGGAAGACGTTTCAAGGCCCCCATGGCCCACGCACCAAGGCCCTGGCTTGGCATTCTGGCCATGCAGGAGCCGGGTTCCACTGTCACCCCTCTCCCCACTTCCCTCCGGCAGCACCCATCTGAGTGTTGGGGGCTGAGGAGGTGTCAGGCTGTACTTGGCTTCCTGGCTTTGCTCAGACAGCTCCCTCTCTTCCCTTCCCCTGAGTCTGCAAACGCCCCTGATTCTGGCTCAGGTCCGGGACACCAGGCTCGGTTATAGCACCCACTCCCTCGGGGCTGCCACCACCTCCCGTCCTCACCCCTATGGCAGCTCCACGTTTGCATTATCTACTCAGCAGGGCTGGGGGCGCCTGGAGGAGGCACTGGTCCTGCGCCCTGGCGCCGGGCAGCTGGGAGCCCGCTGACAGTATGTTGAATCAATGAACCACGAATAAAAGAGAAAATTGTCCTCAACCTGACCACAGCGGGGGCCCGGAAGGGTTGAGGGCGTGATCAATTTGACGGACGGGCCCTCAACCCACTGCGAGGAGCTGGCGGGCCGCTCCGCCCATGCCCCACCCACCCGCGGCCGAATAAGGGCGCGCGGAGCATCGGTCGGCGCCAGCTGTTGAGCTGGCTCACCTGCGACAGGTGCTCCAGGCGGACCTAGACGAGCGAGGACCCGCATGGGGCCTGGCGCTGCAGGGAGGATGCTGCGCGAGCGGACCGTCCGGCTGCTGCACGGGAGCCGCGTCGAGGCGGTGTACGTGCTGGGCACGTACCTCTGGACCGACGTCTACAGGTGAGCGAGGCCACCGCGCGGGGGCTACACCTGCCTCCGCCCCCGGGGCTCGCAGGAGATCTCGGCCGCGGAAATCCCGAGACCCTTGCGGGACTCGGGGACGCACGGACAGCCTTCCTCCAGCCCCAACTGCCCCTCGTCCGGGGGCCTCCCGCGCCCAGAAATTCTAAGACCCTCACCCAGAACCCTGACAGCCCAAACCCTGCGTCAGCCTCTCCGAAATCCGGAGACCCTCCCAGACACGCTGACACAGCCCCAGCTTCCTCTCTCCCCCTTTCCCAGGTCCTCCTCCCCCGCACCCTAGTCTTCCAACCGCCTGGCCTTCTCCGGCACCCAGGGCACCCTCAGCACCCCCTCGGCTTCCCCGCCAGCCTCTCCCGTTTCACTTCCCCCCTCGCTCCCCAGAAAGTCCCTTCTTCCTCATTGCCTTCCCCTCCCCCTCGGACCCTCCAGGCTCACCACCCACCTCAGCCCAGCCCCTCACTCGACTCCCAGATCCGCGGAGCCTCCTCGGGGATTTGCTGCGAGCTGCCCTGGGGCGGATCCTGGCCCTGGGGGTTGCTCAGGCTCTGATTTCGCCCCCTGGGGGCTGCTGCTGGTTGCCTGTCCGCAGACACTGGCTGTGAGCTCCGTGTCCCCAAATGCCTTCCTTCGACTTCACCCCGGGGTCAGCTGAGGGTGCGGAGATTGCGGGGTCTTTGTCAGCAGGGCGCCCCTGATTGAGCACCCCGTTCCCCCACCCTTCGTCTGTCCACGAACTTGTTGGGGGGTGGGATTTCTGAGACGGCAGGATGTAGGGGGGTGGGGATGGAGGGCGCCACCACTACCCCCCAGCCCCCAGGAAGCAGCCCAGTCCAACGATCCATCTCCCTACAGAATGCAGGGCGGGCCTGTGACTGGCGTAGATGAAGCGGTGGAGGGAGTCCCGTTGGGATTGTGCAGCCCCCTCTATTCCAAACATGAAATGTTCCCCACTGCCAGGCTGGGAGGGGTCTGTGCTGACAGAGGGGAGCACGCAGGACTGGACTGGGACCTCATAACTTGGCTGGGTTCCCTAACCTCTCTGTGCCTTGAGCTGAGCTGGAGGTGCCAATGTGGCTTATGGCTCCCAAAATCATTGTCATCTGGAGCGCCCTGCCTCTCTCAGGCCCCCACCAAACCCCGTCCATGTGTCTTCCCACACACCCTCCCCAGCCCATTCTTTCTGTCCTCTTCACTGGCCCTGGCAACCCCGCCCAGCCAGTCTCCTGCCACCTACTCAGCAGGCACTGGCCACGAGGATACCATCAAGCCCCAGCCTCCTTCCCGGAGGACAAAGGGCTTGGTCGCCTGCAGACCAGATACCCTCTCCACGCGTCTGCCCCCGGCCTCGGTTGCCCCACAGTAAATCTCAGGGGCAGTTTCTGAGGGTTTAAACACAGCAGTGGGGTGTGGTCCAGTCCTCAGCGGTCTGGGTGAGCTCCCCTCCTTTCCCCACCCCCAGTCCCTAACTGGGCACTGCCAGGGAGCAGGCCGGGAGCCAGGAGGCTCAAGCCTCTAAGCCTCAGCTGTCACCATACCCGCCTGTTTATTCACTGAGGCACTTTTTGTGCAGCCTGAAAGACTAGCATGGTACTTCCGGGGGGGCGGGGGTAAAGAAGGCGGCCATGCTCAGTCCCCCTGCCCTCCCTCTGTCCTGGCAGAGCGAGACCCAGCCCAATTGGGGGCAGGGAGTGTAGGAGGTGTGGACTCATCTTCCCTCTGGCAGAGGGCGGAGGTGTGATGATCCCCTTTGTCCTTTCTCAAGAAATCAGCCACAGCCACAACGACCCACACCTCCCACCTGCACTGCACTTAAGATTCTCCACCACCCCCAAGAGAAGTAGTAGAGTCAGACTAGTGCCGGCCAACAGACATGGAATGCAAGCCCCCAGCAGAGCCACCCGTGTGATTTAAATTTTCTAGTAGCCACATTCTTAAGGTTAAAATAAACAGGTGCAATTAATTTTAATAATATACTTTATTTAACCCAAAACATTAGCATTTTAATCTATAATCAATATAAAATTATTTGTAAGATAGTTTACATACTCTTTTTCATATTAAGTCTTTGCAATTCGATGTGTAAATCACATCTCAGAGTGGACGCGCCGCATTTCAGATGCTCGATAGCCACCCGTAGCCAGTGGCCACTGCACCGAACAGCGCAGGTCTCGAGCAGCGTTTCTCATCCTTGGCACTATCCCGATGCAGACCGCACAGTTCTGTGCTGTGGGGGCCAGTGCTGTGCACTGTCGGGGGGTCAGCAGCATCCCTGGCTTGTGGCTGGGCTGCTCCTGCTGCCATCACTCTTCATATTCGTAGTGGTAAAGGCTCCTGTCAGCATTAGCAGCAGCAGGAGCCACTAGTGAACACTTGACCGAGTGCATTATCTCCTTCCGTCCTCACCATAGACCTTGGAGGTTCTGCTGGGATCGACCCGTGTTGTAGATGAGGAAAGTGAGGCTCAGAGGAGTGAAACCATTTGCCTGATGTCATGCAGGACTCAGGTCCAGTTCTGTCTGCCTCAGAAATCATACTGTTAACCTCCACTCTGTCCTGTGTGACCCCAAAACTGGCAGTTTGAACTGGATGACCCTCTCAGCTTGTGTCCCTTCCACCCTCCACCTGGGCCATGAGCCCACTGCCCCCAAAGGCTTTACCCACCCCCATTCAACCTTCTCTTTCCCACTGAGTCCTTCCCCACCCAGACACAAGTCCTGACTCAAGACCCCACATGACGCTCCCCAGGGTCTCCGAAGAGACACCAAGGAACAAGGCCTAGTGGACCCTGGGCCGGTTACTTAGGGACTGGTGTCTTGACCCCTCACTCCTTCTGAGTCACGGAGGTGAGAGAACAGGACTCAACACCCACCCCCTTTCCCAAGGGCCCTGGACCCCCTCTCCTGAGATGCACACATAGCTTCCCTCCCCTCCGGACCCAACAGGGGCCTCACCCGCCCCGTCCCCAGCAGACCCTGTGGTCCACCCACCCTCTCCCAGCAAAACTGTCTCTTTGGGGCTGGACGCCCGACTCTGACTCATTCTGAGCACTAGTCTCCAGCAAGCTACGAGCAGATACACAGAAAAAAGGAAGTGGGATTTCTTTTTCTGGAGATTCGCGTCGAGATAGTTCTTAGAGGTGTTGCTATTTCCCTCTACTACTTCCACTTGTTCTTATCTTCAGTCCGGCATGTGTGCGCCTTATCCACGCAATCTTCCCCATGGTCTCTTTACTCAGCAGTCGCGTCTTCACTGGGGCTGGCCTGGGTCCCAGTCTGATTCCGGCTTGACTTTGGAGAGGAGGCGTGGAGTGAGTGATGCCTCGGGTTGCTCTCACCCTCACCTCTGGTGAGTGATGTATGTATTCCCTGCGCGGGAGCCAGGGGCACCGCAGGATCTGCAGGGATTAGAGAAAGGGCAGCCTCAGAGTGAAGGAATGGGGTGATCCCACTGCCCGACTCCCCCACTGACCCGCAAGCCAGCCGTGGGGACAGCTTCTCCTGTCCCTCCTTCAGCCTATGCATCTGTCCAAGGAGCAGGTGTCCCCTTGTCCCTGGTGGAGAGAGGTTGGGATCCATATCATGAGATCTACAGGAGATGATGTTTACAATCGTCTCTTGCCTCTGCGGAGCAGTCTCCTGGTTACATCTGACTTCATGGTGAGCCTCTGAGGTGGGAGCTAGGGGTACTCTCTGCCCCCTTACCCGGGAAACCCCAGGCAGAAGCTTGCCCATCACTCTCCGGCAGGAGACAGGAAGGGAGCACCAGGGCAGGAGTTCCTAGACATCGGCACGGGAAAATGCTGGGAAAGCCAGAAACGGTGCAGCATGTGTCACATCTCAGGGAAGAGCCTGGAACATCTAAATTTACTCCCCTCTTACTCCCTCGACTCCCTCCTAGACTTCCTCTCTCTGTCTCTTGGTTGGTGTGAGTATTTTAGAAAGGATCATTAGGAAAAAGGCCAGAGAGAGTCTGCAATCCAGCCTGAAGCGACGAGGACTTGGGGTGCCATGGTCTCCCCTTCCCATAGAGTGCCAGGCTCCCCCTCACTGATCCATCTACTGCCGACTCCCCTGCACACACTCCGCTCCAGCCACGCTGGCTTGGAGATGCTATTGGCCCTTGAACGCACCAAGTTCATGTTCACTTCAGCGCCTTTGCAGGTGCTCTACCTCTGGAGCACTACCCGCTAGACCACTGCAAGGCTGACATTCTCCCGTCAAGTCTCAGCTCAAATGTCACCTCCTCCATGCACGTTCCTTGACTACGCCTTGAGCCCCAGGCTTTCTCTATTTCATCTCAGTTTTTTTCCTTTGCAGATATTATTATTATTTACTTAATCCTAGCTACCATTTACCGAACACTCATTCTGTACCAGGCAGCCTTCTTAGTGCCTTGCATGTTCATCTCACGTGTATTTAATCATTTACATGTGTTTAAACCTCACAACAACTTTATGAGTTGGGTGCTATTATTGGCCCCCTGGACAGCTGAGGAAAGTGGGGTAAGGAATGCTTGTCCAAGACGACACAGCCAGTTAATGGTGGCGGTGCAAAGCCCAGGCCCCTGACCACGCTGCCGGCCGGGCTCCCTTTGGGGACTTGTGTTTTAGGCGTGTCCTCCTCCGCATTCTCTGCCCCGTTTCCATGCCCTTCCAGCCTTCGAGTCAATGAAGAGCTCCTTGGTTGAGAGAATGAATGAATGATGTGGACTAGCCTATCATTGGGCTGAGCTCTCCACCCCCAGCCTCAAGGGACAGGCACCGTTGGATGGGCCAGTGGAAGGTCAAGGGCATGTGGCCAAGCTTGGCCAGAGCAGCACTTCTCCTGAGAGAATGATGAGGAGGAATCAGGCCTGGTCAGGTGGCCACATAAATTAGAACAGCTCCCAGAGCCCTCAGCCCTAAAAAGGAGACCCTGCCAGAAACTGCTCCAGGGCTCAGGTTTCAAGCTAGTTCTCAGGGAGGGGCAAGGTTCTAA